ATTCATTACGTTTTCCAACGTTTTTCATGAGAATGTGCACCTACTGTACATATAAGAAAAATCTGCATGCAAACGGAGAGCCCAAAAAGAATGGCGGGTCAATTTCAAAAGCCCACTGTCGTATGAATCTCGTGATTTTATGGGTCTTTCTCGGTTGTGATGGTAACCCGCTCCCCGCAACTCATCCCACCCGGTTTAGCCGACCAACATTCGTCCTCCGTCTTCCTTAACCCCGGTTTACTGTATCTGCATTTCAGACTCATCACCTTCAGTGCGTAACTGACAAGGCCGCCTTCGAGAACGTTCCGTGTTCAGTTTTCGCAGACACCAAGCCCATGACTTTGGCGCTCTCTGTACTGGTCGTCATCGAGATGTGTAACGCACTCAACAGGTATGCTGCTGTCTCTAACATCTCCCTTCTCCGCCCTCCCCGTCTGTGTGGCCCTTGACTGTTGGGTGTATTTCTACAGAAAACCGCCTCGTTTGCTGTGTGATTCTTGCTCAAAAGCAGAAGGGGAGGGGTGTCGCCATCACCCTCCTGCGTGTTGGCGACAGTGATGTACGTGAGGGCACGGCTGCTCACACAGATTTAGTGTTACTGAAAACGTTGCTACAACCAGTTTCCCTGCCCTTTTAATGTTGCACAAGTAAAATGTGTATACCTTCTGAACTCTGTTGGCACCATGTGATCTTTTACAGCAAAGTTAATCGTCCGGGCATATTTCTCGCTCGCTTTTTTCCAGCCACCAGTTACCTTGATGATATGACCAGATAAGAAAGAATAGAGCATAAGGTAAATTCAAGGTTTATGGGGTTTTTAGTTTTTTCTCTGGGCAGGCATCTAACTGTCGGTAGCCATACTTCCTAGGAACATTCAGAAAACAGTTTATTATTAAGCACACTTTCCCTTCTGAACACGCCAATTTTATGGATTGCCGCCATACATAGCAATAACATTATCGTATTTATGGCAACGCGAGTCCTTCACTTTTCAATAGCGAATGTGATCGAGATTTAGTATTATAGTACGCGTGTTGATTTTCCGTCAGACTCGAGTACTAGCTTGGCTTCGGAAAATATGCGTGATCAGTAGCCGAAACATATTTGAAGCATTGTCTTCCCGGAGTAAATTTGAACAAGGCAACAGAGGAAGTTGACTATCCAAGCACGGTTGATGTCACAATAGTTATTCTTACAGGATTCTACCAAAGTCTCGGTGTGTAAAACCCTGCCATAAAGTCATCTCAGGCCTTTCAAATGTAGCCGTTTAGGCCAACAAATTCTTTGGGTGTTCATACCTCCGGAGCACTGCCCAACTTCGCAACTCTGATATGAGTTCCTTGTCCTGTCATTTGCAGTCAGGCATGTTACTTGTTGCATAGAACGTGATCATTTCGTCTGGTCTCGTAGAGGTTCAATCTTGAGCCCTGCTGTTCGAAATCGCCAGACTAGTATTATTGCTAGCTCATTGCCATCCTACCTCGGCTGGGCTTCGCTTGCAAGAGAACCTTAAAAGTCAAGCACAATCTTGGATTGCGTTATTTTTTTAATGTCAAGCCCTAGCAGACCGAAGAAATTTCGAGTTGACTGCTGTACTACTTGTATGTTTCACACCCCTTTTTTGTAAATGTGTGCCACCATTGATTTATCTACCTAGTGGAAGTAGTTTTTTTTAAAAATTATTTTGCGACGACCTCAACACCACGTTCTTTTTTTTTAACCTCACCAGTATTTCGGAGAACCAATCGCTGTTTGCCATGCCGCCATGGAAGAACATTTGGTTGGTCTTGGCTATCACGCTGAGCATGGTGCAGCACTTTGCAATTCTTCACATTCCCTTCCTGGCAGTAAGTTGCAATGAGGTCATTCGGTGCTAATTTTTAACGAAGTTTCCTGTGCACTTTCGCAGAATGATCAACACTTGTCAGTAGATCGC